TGCGGTTCCACCCCCCATTCTGGCACACCCCTCACACGTTTCGTGGCCCCATAGGGAGCTCCACCGAAGGCCCCAGTGGCTGCGCCCGCATGCGGTTCCACCCCCCATTCGGCACACCCCTCACACGTTTCGTGGCCCCATAGGGAGCTCCACCGAACGCCGCAGTGGCTGCGCTCGCATGCGGTTCCACCCCCCATTTCGGCACACCCCTCACACGCTTCGTGGCTCCATAGGGAGCTCCACCGAAGGCCCCAGTGGCTGCGCTGGCATGCGGTTCCACACCCCGTTCTGGCACACCCCTCGCACGCTTCGTGGCCCCATAGGGGGCTCCACCAAAGGTCCCAGTGGCACTGCCCGCTGGCGTCCGCCACCACCCTGCACAGCCCTTGCTCCCTGCCTGCGTTTCACCCACCCAGTACAGCGTTTCGTGGCCCCATAGGGAGCTCCACCGAAGGTCCCAGGGGCACCGCTCGCATACGTCCGCCACCACGCAGCACAGCCCTTGCTGACCGCGTCTCACCCACCCAGTACAGCGCTTCGTGGCCCCATAGGGAGCTCCACCGAAGGTCCCAGTGGCACCGCCCGCATGCGTCCGCCACCACCCAGCACAATTGCGGCATTCACAACTGCATATGGTTGGGTCATTCGCCAAGCTAATGTTTGGTCTACCACAGCCCCACCCCACGAGAGCCACGGTCAGTACTAGAATAAAAAACGGCATCGACATAAATGTGTGGCGCTCCGCGCGGAGTTTTTGTTGAATCAGCGCTGGACCCCCCTCCCTGGCGCGCGGAGCGCGCCAGGGGCGCCGCAGCGCCGCCGAGGGGGCCCACGGCGGATCCAACGAACTCCGCACGGAGCGCCAAAAGTCATGTACATGGCGTTCTTTCTTCTTCGAAGTATGCGAAAACCACGCCCCAGGGAGGGCGCGTTGTGTACCAAGGCCACGAGCGGGACCCTCGCCCGCCCCCCAGGGCTTCGGGTCAGAGACTGAAAATGTTTCGGGCGGACCAAGGCCACCCGAACTCCACGCCCTGCGCCCCGAAGCGCCGCGGCCAGCGGCGGGTCGGGAATGTCCTCCTGCAGGCGCATTTTGAAAATAAACTAACAGATAACCCGACATGCTTCTTGCATGGGGATAAGAGCACGAAACATCGCCAACAGACTATGATTGTTACTATTCTTCAGTACTCAACCTGCAGAAGGCCATGCCCGACTTAACCCTCGCGCCCCCGCGACCCCCGACGCCGCCCCCCCCGTGAGAGGGGCAGCCGCTGCGGGCCCGGAAGGCGACGCGCGGCGCACAAGCACGGCGATCCTGCCGCCGCTAGGTCGGGCACGTCCTCGCACAGGCGGAGTTCTGGAAGAGACACACAAACATTGCACAAACAATGCAGGAAACTTGCTGCGCGACCTCCTCCTCCTCCTCCTCATCATCATCATCATCATCCTCCTCCTCCTCCTCTCCTCCTCCTCCTCCTCCTCCTCCTCCTCCTCCTCCACTCTCCTCCTCCTCCTCCTCCTCCTCCTCCTCCTCCTCCTCCTCCCAGGTTATTGTTATACCGCTCTGGAATCTTATTCCTGTAGGAAAAGCGCCGCCGAATCACACGCCCGTCGAGAGCGGGTAGACGAAGCAGGAAGACGTTGGAAGTAGATTGGGCTTCCGCCCGCCCCCCGAAGAGGAGGGAAGGGGGAATCCAGTCGATGCTTGAAGTAGGCAGGCGCCTAAACTAGATTGGGCTCTGAAAATCCAAGAATACCGACCTTCAACGACCGATGGGCAATACTACCACGGAACAACAGACGAGGAACACGAGCACAGAACCTCGCACAGCACACGCGGCGCCAGCACAAGGAGCACCAGACCAGGAACACAGAGGGCCTTCCGGACCACGGCCCGCCTCTGCAAAGACGAGGCCCCCCGACCTGGAGCTCAGGAGGAGGCGGGCTCCCCCAAGAGGGTCACGCTCCGCAACCTGCCGCTATCTCGCCAGGGCCCTTGCCCTGGCGTCCCTTCGGCAGATTACTCGGAGCCTGCCTTCCGCAAGCTGGCGGGCGCACGCGGAGCTCCGTACCCCTGCAGAGCGAAGTCTGTTAAACGTGTTTACTACAGCAGCTCAGGAGGAGGAGGAGGGGGAGAACGGCCCGACGACCAGAGCCGCTCCGGAGCTCGGCGGGCCCCGGAGACGACGGCGCCGTTGTTTTTCTAACTTTCCGCTGCCTCCGCCGCCTGCCTGCCCGTTCTGCTCCCGGCTCCAGTCCCGGGGCCGTGCGTGCTGCCGCTGCTGGTTGCCCATGCTTGACCGCTTCCAGTGGCAAGAGGCGTAGTTTCGGAAACGGTGAAGAAGAGGGCCCTGCCTTTCCGGCGGCCCGACACGCACAGCTCCTCCGGAGCACCTGGGTGGCCCATGCTGCAGTGGCCTGACTGCATGCGTCGCGCTCCCGCGGGTGAACCCGGGTGGCTCGAGGCGGGGAGGCTGTCGGACGTCTCTGGCCCCAAGGCTCGGGCAGGCTCGAGCAGTGGCTGGAGCAGTGGCCGCTCAAGTCCGCCCTGGGCAGTGGCAGTGCTACGCCGCCTACTGGAGAAGTCGATCCCCAGGTCCTTGCAGCCTGTGACAGACTTGAGGGCAATCCCGAACTTCTCCTGCACTTGAGCAACCATCTGCTGAACGAACTCAGGGTGGCTAGCTAGCAAGACAGTCTTGCCCCATAGTCTCAGCTCTTGACCCTGCATTCGAGCAAATGAATAGCTGAGGGCCTCAGCGCATGGTACAATCACTGTCTGAGCCTTACCCATGGTCTGCAGAGCCACGTCATCTAACAATGTTCGAAGCTCAAGTGGAAGCAAGCCTTCCTCCTTCACTCTCCCCTCCTTTCATCCCTCCTTCCCTCCCTCCTTCCTCACCTTCCACCCCTCCCTCCTTCCCACCTTCCCTCCTCCTTTCCTCCCTACTTCCCTCTCCTCCCTCGATCCCTCCCCCCTCCCTCCCTCCACCTCCCTGCTGCCCCCCCTCTCCCCCTGGGACGGGTCCTCTTCCTCCACCACCTGCCCCCTCCTCCCTTCTCCTCCCTCTCTCTTCCTGCGATTCGGGTCTGGATTTGTTTTTCGTTCGGCTTCTTTGCCGATCGTCACGTTCGGAGACTCGCCGACGTGTGCGACCCCCTTTCGCAGAATCAGACCAAGCGGGCGTATTGAGACAATTGTTTTTTGCATGTTGGGTCGAAGCCTTCTGCCGGCAGTGGTGACATCGCTTCAGATGTTCTCTGGATCCCGAATTCCCGAATTCCTCCTCATCCTCCCTTTCGTCCCACAAGTTATTCCCCAAAGGGTGGCACATCGGCTGGGGGAGCACATTGTCCAACAGCTTATCAAGACTTTGGCTCAACGTTTGGCCTCACAGGCGTTTCCAAGAGGCAGGGGGTGGCGCTGGTTCGAAATAGGCGTCGCTGATAACCACCATCATTGCCATGATGAGCGACGACGTGAGGTTTAGGCCTCTTTTGAGACGTATGCCTACATGGATCACACTGTATAATCAGCCGATACATTAGCGATGCACCAGCGACGTCGGGAAATGGCAAAACGAACTCCAAATCGTGCCGCATCACCGATATGCTGGCGATTCGGCCCGACCATCCGACCCCATCCGCTACGGCCCAGTCCCGAGTCAACCATGAGGCGGCCAGAGGTCTCTGGAGCTTGTTCTATCGAGGAACGAGTAGGCAAGAAGCGGACAGCATCCAATCGGTGTATCGGACCAGATCGGAACAAACACCGAATCCGCCCGCATCGGCACGGAGTCGCGTTCAAACCGGATCGGCCGCGCCAGGATGCACGACAGCGCCATGGGCAGTCGAACTTTTGGAACGATGAGATCGAGATAAACCCTGCTGTTCTGTCTGGGATCGAGGAGGACCACGGAGGATGCCCCTCTGACACCACAGATGATCCCCTGAGATCCGACGTCGCGAAAGACAGTTCTAGCAGCGTGAACAAAAAAACACCCCGAGCCCAAGCGCCCACCTTCCTGCAGCACCTTCGAGCCGGATCGATCCGAGATGGCCCCGACCGCCCCCCGGACCCAGGACCCGGCGACAACGCCCTCTGCGAACAACAGATGCGACACCCCACCTCGTGCTCCGCAGCAGAACGGCGCAGTGCAAAAACTGCCGCTCCTCGAACAGCAGCTGCGTGTAGCTCTCGCAGAGCATCACCACGACGCGCGCCCAGGCGCACAGGCGACTCCGGAGCGGGGGTCGCCGAGGAACGAGCGTCTCCTCCTCGTCTCCCCCTCCTGGTTCTCGAGTGTTTGAAGGGGCCCTGGGGCACACAAATAAATACACACAAATGACAGGATTCCCCATACTTTCCCATCCTTTCCCCATACTTTCCCAATCCCCACGTTTTCCCACATTTTCTTGCGAGTCAACGATTAATTGTGGCTGTGTGTGTTTCCTTCCCTCATGAGTGTAATCGGCATGCTGGCCTGTGCACGTGGGCCGGTGGCAGCGTGCCGCCGGGGGCGGCCGAGGGGGTTGCCCCCCGTGTCCGCAGGACGGGAGCTGCGCGCTGCCTGGGGAGGCTCGGGGTCACGTCTTCGACGGGGCCGTGCTGCTGTTGTTGAGGTGGCTGCGGGTTTCTCGAGCGCAGGCTTTGAATGGGCCTCGGGCCTAAGAATACAGATTCAGAGACAGTCCCCCAGCCTCCTTTTCTTCGGGTGCTGGCGAATGTGTCCATGGGCCCAGACTGCACCCAGGATCTCTGGGAGGCCCAGGTGGCTTCCAGTGCACCCGCCACCGAGCCCAGAGGGCCCTGGGGCTCTTCAATGGTGCGGAAGGCGGAGGGCACCTTGGGCCAAGGACCCCTTTGTCTGGACCCCTCCATATTTATGGCAACGGGGACATCGGCCATTTCACCGGGGCCAGTTATTCATCCTGCATCGTTACTGCTGACAGGTCCAGAGGAGATTCAGACTCCGCGGTGTCAGCGGGCTGCGGATGCACTGCTCCAGGCATCGGCGCGGCAAACGCACGTAGGCTGACTCCAATTGCCTCCTCCTCCTCCTCCACCACCACTTCCACCTCCTTGTCACGATCCTCATCCATATCGTCCTCCACTTCCTCCTCATTATCCTTCAGCTGGTCCCCTCGTCCTGCATTTCCGCGTTGTCCTGCAGGTTGCCGGGGAGGATTCGCACGGGAACGATTTAATGGAAGATCTGCTTTAACAGGGAACACGATTTGCTGATGGGTAAAAACAAAAAAACGCACGACTCTAAGGTTATGGTGAGCTCCTCAACCAGTCTGTAACCTGCGTTCTGACACACACACACACACACACACACACACCTCCTCGGCCGAAGATGGTGACGGGGAGAACAATTAAGCAACAAACTGGATGAGGGCCAACCTAGAAGGTGATCACACCAACCCTCTGGGCGTAAGTGGTTTCACGAGTTTTGTCTCCTCTCTTCTTCCACAACCCCTCCTTCCCCTGTTCGGGGGAGGGGCCGACCCCTCCCCCTACCCCCTCCCCAGGGCCTGGGAGGGGGGGAGGCGCTAGAGCGCCCAAGATGGCCCAAGGTTGCTTCAAGAGGGCCCCTGAAAGCCCAGGATGGCCTCCAAGATGGCTCAACAAAACTGAAGATGTCCCCCACATGCATCGAAGGCGCTCCAAAACGGCCCCAAGATGGCAAGTGCCCTCTGGGCCCTCCAAGGACCCCCCCCAAGAAGCCAAAATGACTCCAACACCTGGGGAGAATCAATGAGTTGTGCGTTCTCGCCGCTTCGCTTCTGATGGGCTTCCGAAGCCTCCCGGTGGCCCCAAGACGGCCACAAAAAAAACCAGGAGGGGCCAAAGAAGGCCCAAAAAGAGCCCCAAGAGCGCCCAAGAGCGCCCCAAGAGCGCCCCAAAAAGGTCTCAACAGGGAATTGTTGAGCCTCCGAATGGGGGGGCCGGGGGGCCTGAATCGACGGACCCACTCTAGTACTCTTTTTGAACTACGGGGCCCAAGACGGCCCCAGGAGACCTCGCACACCCGCCCAAAGGGCAACAAAAAACGCCAAAGTGGCCCCAACAGAGCCCCAGAAAGCCCCGACATGGCTCCAAAAGACCCCCCACGGACACCAGAGAACCTCTCACATCAACGCTTCCACTCGCCTGGTAAGACTGTTTCTGAATGGGCTGGTGGGGATACTCGAAGCGCCAAGACTTGGGATACGCTGAGCCTCCAACCCAGCTCGAATAACTGCACTAGAGAGTAGCAGGCAAATCTGCATAAGTAGAAGGCGGCGAAACAGTGCGGCGTAAACGCGCAAGGGCTACCTGACGCGCGATGCACTCTCATGCACCGCAGAATGCAGCATTGTATAAAGCTAGTACATGTTCAATGATCAATAACTGCGCGGGGAAAAAGATGGAAAGAGACAGGGCAAGAAATCACCGAGCGGCGGCTCGGACGGCTAACGGGCTGGCCTCCCCACCGCCTTGCATGCGCCGAGGTGGAACTGGAGCTACACAGGGGTGGCGACCAAGGCTCGCCATATCCCTCCAGCATCCCGTGTTCCTGCCTCTTGTCTTTAACGCAGCCGTCAACAATATTATCGAATCGACCCATCGCTTCCCAAAAACTGCTGTCCGGGTTGCAAAGGTCACATGAAAATAGCAGGGTCGCACTGGCGAAAGCGGAAAATCTCGCGACCCGCATTCGCGTCCGCGAACCACCGGCCCCTTCGAACCCACAGCTTGAAGTCAGCGGTCGGTTACGAAGCCTGCCAGCGCAACGCCTCCTTGCGGCGCTTGGACCAAACACCAGCATCGCTGAGTGGGACCGCGCCGCGGCGGGAGTCGATAACCCGCTGCTATGTGGAGATTGCCAACTTTCGTTGAATCTGGCACCAGCAGGCCCCAGCGGCCGGCTGCGGCGCCCTCGACACGAACCTGTGTAATTTCATGGGCCCCTGGTATTGTTCGTAATACACAACCAGCCCGACGGCAAGTGCAGCGATGAACTCGGCAGATTGCTCTGCGGCGAACCGCATGGCAACTGCCCCAGTGCTGATTGCACCGTGGTAGTAGTGAAAGCCTGCGTGAGGAATTCGGATGGCCAGCGCCGCGGGATTTCCAGCCCATGACAGACCGAAGATTGCGCCAACAACTCGTGATCTCACATGTCTGGACACGCTTGAACGCATGCCTGGATCTCGGGCGCACCCCGACGCGGCCCCTCCCGAATCGGCAAACGCCCTTCCAGAGCCACACGGAGGCCGGCAATTCTGACGCAGCTTGGCCTGTAAGCGGCGCGCCCGTCGGAGCCGCCGATCGCGCGCCGCGCGACCGTGGCTCGCCACCTCCGACCTCCGGGCAAGAGGCCTTTCGAGGCGGGACAACGGCAGCGGCTTGCAAGCGCCGCCGCAACAGAACCGATAACGACAGAAGTAGCCCGTGCCATCCTCACTGCCGCTGACTTGTCCCGCCGAGTTTAACAAGTCCCGTTCGTCCGCGTCGTCGACCCAGCGACCGCCGCGACCCCCCCCCCAAGGGGTCGAGCGCGGCCTGCGCGGGCCAATCGAGGGCGCGACAGCGAAGTTGGGATCAAATTTCCCATCATCTACGACTGCACTGCGCGCGGCGCACAACCACGGACGCGCGCGCGATGATTGACGACGCCTCGCGCGCGCGCCCGCGCTAATCTCTCTGGAGTCGGCGGCCGCGCTGATGTTTCGCCAGGCCCACCAATGGCGGGGCCTCCTAACCCGTCTGAAGGGGCTGAAGGCAACGCCTCCGCCGCCGGGGCCGCGGGCGACGCCTCCGCCGCCAGTGCTCTTATTAAACCTTCGCCGCCGCCGGCTGCCCCGCCCCCGCCGGGCGCCGCGCCGCGGGGCCGAGGTCCGCTGACGGGGCGCCTCGCACACATCGGGCCCCGCCAGTTCAACTGCTGACAGCATCTGCCTGAACGGCAAATTCGGACCAATGGCCTTAGGCGTCGCACTTGACGCCAGCGGCCCCCCTAAGCCCTCGGGCGCGGCTGCAGGCGGAACCCCAACTTCGGTTAATAGCGCCGTTTTCGCCAGCCACGCCGGCGCTGCCTCGGGCCCCCCTTGGCCGGGGGCTCGCTGCGAGGCGGCGCCGTCGGCGCCGCGGGGGACAGCGCCCCGGCCCCAGGGGGCCGGCCCATGAGGCCAGCGTCTGCTACCAAGCCGCGCGCCACCGAATACGCGCGGCAATCGATATCGCCGGCGGCATCGGCAACAACGCGCCCGGCGTCGCGATGCGCTAGCTCAAATGGAGACGCCCTCGCCGAATTGACGGGCAAACTCGACCAGCGCTGCCATGTTGCCAGCCACTTTGCGGCGATTCGTCCGGCGCCTCTCGCTGTCTTCGGCAACGCCCGGTTCAACGCCCCAGCGCGCGCCGCCAAGGCCCCCGCCCGCGCCTCCAAAACGCATCCGCTCCTCCGTGGATAGCGCAGACCCAGACGCCCCCCGCAACGCGGCCCGGTCGCTGGCCCACACCTGTTCAACGAGCGACTCGCCGCAGTTATACTCGACGTGTGCGCCGGGGAGATTTTCACCAGCGCCGACGCGTGACTGCTCGGACGCCACCTGTCATATCCTTTTTCTTCAGCCACGCCTCGCAGATTTGCACGGGGCCGACTCTGCCCAACTCTCTTCGAGTGGCGATGGCGATTGCGGCTGAGTAGCATCGCTCTTGATGGCTATCTGCGTCGGGATGTAAAAGTCTCCGGGCACCGTTTGCGAGCCTAAACCTATCGAACCACCATTGGCCATTCCACATAACTCTTCTCCCCTAGGTGCCATAGCAATTTGGCCGCCGGCCCACGGAGCCTCAAGGTGCCCACCACAAAGCCGCCCCCCCCCGCCCGCCTAATTACTTGCGGCTCATCTTGCACCCTGCGCAATGGGCATCAGTCCACACTGCTAACTCCCAGGGTAGAAGTCGATACCTACACAGAAAAACAGCTTCTACTCTGGCTCAAGAAATACCCTCCGCTTCTCACGGGTCTCCCAGGCTCAAGTTTTCGGCTCAGTCATGCGTCTGGCCACCCTTTCCCGCACATTAAGTGCCACGCCAGTCCTCCGCGAAATAATTCGCGCGCAAATAACGCCTGGTAACGGCAAGTTTCTCGAGCCGATAGGTCTTCCTTCTATCAACAACGTCAGAAGAAACTTTCCACGTTGAAATATCGACTTGGCTTTGTCGTTGTAGCTCCAGTTCTTCAGCGATTACTGCGCCGTGCTACTGGCGCGCATCATACCCTGAACCATCTTGGTTTCGCTCAATGGCCCGATCCAATATTCGGATGGTTTGGCACTCTTCGTTGCCCATCCCCGTTATTGAATCTTCATCGGATCCGAACCTAAGTTGATATTCGCTTAATCTCTGCCTCGAACCAGGCAAATTCTCGGTTGCCTCCCAAGAATGCGAGATCGTCGCCGCGCGCCGTGAACCAAATGATCCTTCTCTCGCGCCTGAACACAAACGGCGAATCTAAACCGCTGGCGACCTCAACTTTCTTAGCGAAGTCCGCGGGCCAATCCTCCCAAGTACTCGCGGCGCGGGGAGCGCCATAGATACACGTTCAGAACCTTCCGCACATCCCTGGCTTATAAATTCCTTGCGGTAGCTTCACATAATCGCCGTGACGTGGAAATGCTATCTCCTAACATCCAGGAGACCCTCATTCATAATTCCACGTTAAACGCGTGGCATCCGATTCCTTCCGTGACCGCCATGGGGTTAATAGTTGCTGTGCCTCGAAAGGAATAGCAGCACATAAACCCTGCGAATCCAAATGAGATTCACCGCGTTGCGCGACGATTCGAAAACTGCAGTCAGGACAAGCATCATCCGCGCTCAGGGTTGCCGAGGGTTCGCCGATGTCCCCGCGAGCCTCGTACGCCCCAGGAGAAAATAACCACGCCTGAAGTTGACACTTGAGGCACTGATGGGTTTGGGTGTTTCCTGAAGACTGATGCGTGAACGTGGCTTGCGCATTGCAATTTCCACGTTTGAATTCCCGGCTCTCCATAGCCTGCCTGGAGTCCAGATGCATGGTGACTCTCCGGGCAAAACTCCTCCACGCGGGGTCGTTTCTCCTCGGGAGCTCTAGCCTCAGTCTTCCCGAATCTCTTCTCGACCACTCTAACTCTACATATCCTCCACGTCCGCCTGGGCAGGCCTCAAAAGCCAAGCTGTTCTCCACCCTCGGCCTTGAACGAGCATCCATTTCTCTCATCCTGCTTCATTGTTTGCCTAACTAACCCGGCGAATAACCCTCGCCATAATTTGTCTGTGCTCATTTACACCTCAGTTCTTCCGCCGCCGCTTAACTCTAGGAGGCAACGAAGGCGCTGGCAGGTGGCATTAGCTCTTTACCTAGGCTGCTACTGTTAGTCATGAGCCTCGCAAGCGAATGTATGCTCAAGTCCTCTCCTTTAAACAGGTTGTTCCATGACGAATTTGCACATGTCTACATCATGCGCGTCAACGCATGGTTCCCTACACATCCGTTGCACAGCCGTCGCAATCCAGCAGAGTGCGCCCGCTGGATGCTGAAATGGGACAGAGAACCCACTGATTTTTGGGCCTCACACAATTCGAGTGCGGAGTTGAGTTGTTTCAGTATGTGTCATAACATGTTCTCTCCTTCCGTCCCCCATGCAGCTGGCACTGAATGACTGCAGCCAGCTGCAAGCCGAGCACATGGGACTGACAACTAAGAACGACGCTAATTTACTGTTGACAATTCGTTTGGCTATCGCTCTCACAACCGCATTATTAATATCGCACGGGTTCCCGTGCTCGTCGCAGGTGGTGACGTTCATGACTAAACCGGAAACTAGCCCCACTCTGTGGGCCATGTCAGAGCAACCGACCATGATATTGTCAAGGTCTGAGGCTCCAAATTGCACACGCCAGATGGCAACGGAACCAAAGTTTGACACCATGCTTTCACAAGTCCCGCAACCAAATGAGCACCACTTTCCACCACAGGCAATGCTGAGTACGCAGCCGAGCGGGTGATCTCAAGCACCTGTGCGCCACGGTGACCACCAGCAACAGGGGCGGTCGCACCATGAGGAGCGGGAAGCAGGGCAAAATCGTCGTCCCAACTTGAGGGGGCTGCAGGCGGCATGGTGAAATCCTCCGCCGACGAACGTTGACGGGGTGCAGGGGGCATGGCACGTCGACATCATCCTCCGACTCGAATGCCGCCGCTGCAACCGTGAACAATGCCAGCACGATTCGCAGGCGAAGCAGTGCTGTGTCGCTCGGCACTCTGGGCGGTGGCTGCCACTGGCTCTCGACATGTGCTTGCGCATGAGTCCAATGATCACGCCGCCTCGGGAGCAACACTTGCAATGGGCTGCAGACAGAAGGACACCCACTGCCGGCACGCTCGAGACCAGGAGCCGGCAACGCCACGAGACACCTGCAGTCCCCCCAGGCCGTGGGAGGCCCCGAGACCCTGGAGGCCCCGAGGGGCCCCCGTGCCACACGAATGAACCCCTCGGCCGTGGGGGGGCCCTGAGGCGCTGGTGGCCCGGAGCCCGGTGGAGCCCCTGGAGCACCCGAGCCCCTGCACGAGCAGCCTCCGAGGCAAAAATGGTCGCATGGGCCCTGGGAGGCCCTGAGCCCACGGAGGCCCCAAAGGATGGGCATGTTTTCCACCACCACCATAAGTTGGAGGGGGAGGGGGTCCTCCTCCTCCTCCTCCTCCTCCTCCTCCTCCTCCTCCTCCTCCTCCTCCTCCTCCTCCTCCTCCTCCCCTCCATCCTGCTGGTCCTCCCCTTACGTCAAGCAAAGATGCAAAGTCATGCTGCTCGAAACTCGATCGAAGAACAAACACCATGTGCTTCGCGAGCCAACCCCTATCTGGGTCTTCTGTGAGGAGCGCTGCGCTCATCAAAATCCCATCGAGGTCTTCTGGGGGGTAGAAACGCCCATCAAACCCTGATGAGAGAAGACCAACGACCCAAGCCACCAAAACCCGTCACGCCCCCAACCACCCCACAGGCTCTAATATGTTGTGCGTTCCTCTTCTCGCACGGATGATCCAAGATGCTCGTCGATGACCCGCGACGAAACAATGCACGCGCTGCCACGAGAACCGCCCCCTGGCCGATCCCGCGCCGACAAAAAAAGCACACGCCCGAGCGACGCCGAGCGATGCCACGGCCGACCCCGACCCACCAGCCCAGCAGGGAGGACCTGCGCGCGGCGCCTTGCTACATGCGGATTTTCGACGAAAAAAACTGTTTATTAACATGTTTTTAATCTAAAAAAAAACTCAGGAAATAGCCAAAGTTTGACACAAAATACTCAAACAAATCGTTCACAGGCTACCTTGACTACTTTTGAACACTCCTCCTGGTGAGGGGCATCCCCGGCTGAAGCCTTACCTCTCACAACAGTTGTGAGTGTCTCTTCTTCGACCTGGAGTAAAATGAGCGCCAAAGGAGGAGAAGAACGAACGTCACAGGGACACCAAAAGGTACCGATACCGCTACTCCCTAAACCTCTCCCGGGCTGTGTCCTGTCCAAATGTTCGAGGCGCATCCAGCCGTTTCGACGAGGGCCCCCATGGATGCCCGACGAGAGGGAAAACGGGGCAACGGTATCGGTACTCCCCCTGCGACGTCATCAGCCTTCGAATCCTCGCTCGTGGGTTCTTCCTCCGACAAGAAGGACACCTCGCTCTGCGTGCTGCGCGAAAAGCGGGGCGCTTCGCGCCAGCCTCTCGGACTCCGCGTCGACGCCGCCTGGGCGCGCCCCCCCTCCTCTCATCGATCGGCTACACAACCGGGAGCAGTCAGCCGTAGGCAAAGAACTGCGGGCACAGCAGCATAAAAACAGCATTAGGTAGGGCATGATGTCCCCCTACAGGCGGATTTTGGGCGGGAAAAAAATAATGCATCCTTCAAACATCGTCCCCAGACAATTGTTGAACTATTCCTCCTGTAGAGGGACATGCCCGACTTAAAAATAGCAATTCGGAGGTCCACGCGGATTCCTCGGATCGCCGCTGGGGCCTCCTTGGCGGCGCCTCCGGCGCCGGAGCGGGGGCTCCGGCGCCGATCCGAGAACTCCGCGCGGACCCCCGAAAGTCATGTTTCTGTAGCGTGCCCCCCTGACACGAGTGCGAGGCGGGGATTCATCCATATCCACCGCCTCGGAACCGACGTCCTGGTGCCCTAGCGGGCGGTGGATATATTTCGGCCCCCGGGGGCCCGAATATGTCCAGATCCACCGCCTGCCGAGGGTCCGAAAGCTGACCCTCCAGGCGGTGGTCATGTATACATTCCCGCCTCGGGACGAGGGCAGGACGAGGACGAGCTCGGACGGAGACGACTCTACGAAAGCGGCACCCGTGCACCGTACCATGAGTGGGCCCGCTAGGGCACCAGGACGTCGGTTCCCAGGCGGTGGATATGGATGAATCCCCGCCTCAGAACGAGGGCAGGACGAGGACGAGTTCGGATGGAGACGAAGCTACGAGAGCGGCACCAGTGCACCGTATACCGTGAGTGCCCCTCGGGCCCCGCTCGGACGCCGCACAGCGGATCCGCGGGGTCCGAGCGTACCATTCCTGGGCCTCAGACCCCCCCCCCCGTGGGAGAACCCTCCAAAACATCGTCCCCAGACCCCCCCAGGCCCTCCAGGATAGCCTGGAAGAGACCCCCCCCGAAATGAGACCCCCCTCCCTTTATTACGAAATCTGTAGTATTTACAACAAAAACATGGAAAGTGTCAAACCAAATACTAGAAGAATCGTCCCCCGACTGTTCTTTGTTGACTATGCTCGAATCTTCCTCCCGTAGAGGGACGTGTCCGACGTAACCCTATCGTCGATGTTTCGCCGATTCCAGCTCGAGGTTCCAACGCTGAGCATACAGTGGAGGCGAGTCCACAAGAGACCTGCCACAAGAAACCCAACCCTGAGACCCCGGGACGTCCATCGAATTTGGTGTGGGGACGTCGTGTTCTCCATCGTGAAACCATCCAAACCCAGGAAACCCAAGGCACACTGGAGGCAAGCAGGGTGCTTCTTGGCATGGGCATGCACTGCATCCCTCCCTATAGCTGCCCATGAAGCCGGGGGGGAAGCTGTCGCCGACCCATCGCCGAGGCATCGACGATTCCAGCTCGAACATCTAGTATACCCATCTTGTAGTGTATCGTTTCCCGAGCGGTGTGGCCAGAAAGCGCCAGCCACGACGCCTGTACTCTACGATGGCTCGGTGCGCGCGTCGCCCCTGGGGGGGCGACGCGCGCACCGAGAAATCAGAGGAGTGACGCCGATCTCGGGGGGGTGACGCCGGTATCTCTCTTAAAGGGGCCCAAGGACACACAACCAAACACACGCGAATCCCAGAATTCCCCGTAGTTATCCATGTTTTCAATGTTTTCGTCTCCCCCACCACTCCCCATCTTGTCCTAGATTTTCCGAAGAATCGACGACTGATTGTGTCTGTTTCCCCTCCTGATACTTAAGGGGTGGGATGGACCGAAGCCGTGCCGCCCGAAGATCTGCCAGACCGTGACAGAGCTGGGCCCCCGAGTTGTTTTCCGAGCGCGCCAGAGGGCGACCGAAAAGCATGGGCTCGAAACCACGACATGTCCACTTCTGGTCACAAGCTCGGTCACACGACGCTTTCGATTGCAGCTTCGGGCACGTGTTCGATCACTGATTTGTTAGGGCTACCGACCTTCTCGGCAGACATTGTCCAGGCGACATGAGCAGAGGAGAGGAGGGAGGGAGGGAGGGAGGGGCGCAAGACGTAGCGCTGGCGACTTGTGGGCACCGGCCCGCCGGCTGTGTCCGCCGTCCCGTGCCCTCGGCTGGAAGAGCGGAGGGGGGGGAGAGGGGAAGGGGGAGGCAGGATCAGTCCGCATCGGATCGCGAAATCGGAGAGGACCGACGCGTACTCCAGATTTCGTAATAAAGGGGGGGGGGGGGTCATTTCGGGGGGGGTCTCTTCCAGGCTATCTTGGAGGGCCTGGGGGGGTCTGGGGACGGCGTTTTGGAGGGTTCTCCCACGGGGGGGGTCTGAAATGGCTTGTCTTGGAGGGTCCAGACCCCCTCCCTTTTATCACGAAATCTGGAGTACATTGCGTCGGGCAGAATCGGCACGAGGTCGGCATCGAAACCGAGCGGCCACGCCAGGATGCACAACGGCGCCACACAGGCAACGGACCGCACAGCATCGTCGGAGCATCTGAATTGATGAAGGGGCCCCAGGACACACAAATAAATACACACAAATAAAAAGATTCCCCATATGTTCTATATGTTCTGGGTTTTTATCTTCCCCACCACTTCCCATATTTTCCCATATTTTCTGGGGGATCGACGATTAATTGTGTCTGTGTGTTAGTTTCCCTCCTGAATTGATTCGGGCCGAGCCAGGGGCAGCCGTCCTCGAATCGCACATCGATCGGATCGAGGTGGGCCCTGCGAGGACGGAAGGGACTGCAGTGCAAAGGGGGAGGAGGAGGAGGAGGAGGAGGAGGAGGAAGAGGAGGAGGAGGAGGAGGAGAAGGAGGAGGAGGAGGAGGAGGAGGAGGGGGGGGAATTAAGAGAAACGATCGGGGGGGGGTAGCACGCACTGGGGCAGCGAGTCCTAAAGGGAAGCGGGTCCTGGACCCCGGCGCCTTCCCCAGGACGAGCTCTTCCTCCCGAGCCGTTTCCTGACGGTCCCGGGGCCCGTGGAGAGCCTCGGGAGCCCGCGAACGGCGCCAAGGCCGAGGACCCGCTTCCCGCAGGACCTGCTTCCCCCATGGCGAGGATAAGCTCAGGGAGAGCAGGGACCGACCGTCCCGGCATTCCTATAGGCCAACCACGACACGTTCTTGGAACCCAAGAAGGTTCTAAGAGCAGCAACAAGGCTCATAGGCCCGATGTGTTACAAAACCCGACAGCCTCTGCCAGAAATGGTTTGAGAACAGTTCGTGCAGACCACCAAAGAGGTTCTTAGAACACTTGCTGGTGGGCCTGTAGGCAAGCCAGGACGCCTCGCCGATGCTGGAGGACAGGCCATCGACTTGGAATCGGCGAGGCATCGCCGGCAGATCAGCGACTGGCCACCGATCGCGGAACCGCACGCTACCGGGCGGGGCGTCCACGACTCCGCTCGGCGACGGATGGGCGACGCGGGGGGGGAGTCGCTGCTCCCCTGTGGGCCAATGCCCCCCTAGCGCCACGTAACGTTAGGTCGGGCAGGTCCCCCTACAGGGAGATTTGGGGCGAAACGATGAGTTACTCATGCCTAAAAAATGCCCCAACACTGTCATACGAATCAAAAAATCGTCCCAGGTTATTTTTGACTATTTTTGAACATTCCTCCCGCAGAGAGGCACACCCGACCTAAACGTAACGTTACCCCTGGCTCTCGGGTCAAAACGCGGGTCTTCAGCTGCCGCGCGGGACGATGCGGGCAGCCACGGGACGCTCTCGGCGAGGAGCCGCCGGTGGAGAGCATCCCGAGGAGGGAAGGCGGCCGGGAGCCGACGAAAGCGCCCAACACAAAACCTCAAACATTGGCCTATCTCGGCGACTCCGACAGGCGTGGTTTGCAAAAAGGTGCGGTCTGCAACCCACACCCTGGTGTGCGGGCGAGAACCTCGACTGGGTTCTCCGCCGCGCCCCGAAGAGGCCCAACGAGGTAACGCGGTGTCCCCCCAGCACCAAGGACGCAGATCAAGAACCACCCCCCGGCGCGACCATGCCATTTATGGTCGCTTACCTTAGAGGAAGAAACAACGCCATAAATATCAACGTTGGGCGCTCCGCGCGGATTTCTTGGATCCGCGCCGGACCCCCCTCCCTGGCGCGTTCCGCGCGCCAGGGGCGGCGCCGGAGGCGCCGCCAAGGGGCCCCAGCGCGGAGCGCCCAAAATTCATGGTTATGGCGTTTTTCCATGTTCGATACCTGGTCCCCCCCCACCCCCCCCTGTCGCTGTCCCTGAGGGGGGGGGGGGGGGCCGACCGCTGGAAAAAACGCCTGTCGCGAAGACCCGAACGCCTCGATCTTCGAGCCTGCCGCCCCCCCCCCCCGCGGGGGAGGCCCCGTGTCCCCCAGGGTGGAGGCGGCGCGCAAAACTTCCAGCCGTGGCCGATCCCCCCCCCCCGCGCGCTTCCCTGCCGGGCACTGCCAGAGGTGCCCGTGGCCCGAGGTGCCCCCGGGAGTTGCAAGGAGAGGAGGAGGAGGAGGAGGAGGAGGAGGAGGAGGAGGAGGAGGAGGAGGAGGGAGGAGGAGGAGGGATGAGGAGGAGGGATGAGGAGGAGGAGGAGGAGGAGGAGGAGGAGACACCCCCCACGAGGCACAGGGGGGCCCAGGTGGCTTCAAAAGAGAGCGGGATGCGGGGATCACCTTGGGCCAGGGGCGCCTTAGCAGCACCCCGCCCCGTCGTTGCTCCGGAGAGGGAGGGTGCCCCCGGCGCGCCGATCGCCAAGCCGCTGCACAGCCGCTCAAGCCTCGGGCGCGCTGGGGCGGTCGCTCCTCTGCAAGGGCTCACTGGGAACCGACAAAAACCTCCGAAAGGCTCGAAACTCGAACACGAAAGTTCCCTGAAACCCACGAGGGCATCCCCTTTTTCCTCCTCCTCCTCCTCCTTCTCCTCCTCCGCCTCATCCTTCTTCTCCTCCTCATCCTCTTCCTCCTCCTTCTTCTCCTCCTCCTTATCACTGTTACTTGCATTAGTATGATTATTCTTCTTCGTATTATTATTAGTCGTATTATTATACGCATTCGTTTCTTACTAGTCGCTTCTTAATATTAATAGTAACAGTAGTAGTATCATTCTTATTATGATTAGTATATGTACTCTTTTTATTAGTATTGGTAGTATTATAATTCAGATTAGTAACCTTATCAGTATACTTATTCGTGTTATTATTCTTAGTGTTATTATTAGTATTCTTATCATTCGTATTATTTGTATTAGTATTATTGGTATTGATATTCCTGTTCTTCTTATGATTATACATCTTATCATTATCAGTCTTATTAGTAACAATAGTATTATTATTCTTGGCAATATCATTATTATTCTTATGATTAACATTATTAGTATTAGTATGATTAGCATTCTTAGTATTAATCTTCGTTGTATTAGTATATATTCGTTTTATTATTCTTCCTCTTCTTTTTCTTCCTCCTCCTCCTCCTCCTTCTCCTTGGATCCACAAGGATTCGGCGCCAAACGCCGCCGCCTGGGCTCTGCGCGACCCTCGGCGCAGGGGCGCCTGGCCGACGAAGGGGAGGCGTGCAGGTCGCTGGGGTCGGCGGGGTCGGTCTTTCTCTCTCTCTCTCTTTTTCTCTGTTTCTCTTTCTCTCTCTCTCTCTCTCTCTCTCTCTTTTCTCTATCTCTCTCTCGCTCTCTCGCTCTCTCTCGCTCTCTCTCTCTCTCTCTCGCTCTCTCTCTCTCTCTCTGAACCAGGCAGGCCAGGCTGCGCCGCAGCAAATCGGTCGCCAGGCGAACTCGAGCCAGCTGGTCTTAGGCCGGGCATGTCCCCCTACAGGCGGATGTGGGAAGACGTTCCTCTTACAAGTGAACAGAGAATGCCAGAAATGATCCACAGTGGTCGGAAAATCGTCCCTGGGTTATGTTTTGCCTATTTCTGAAGATTCCTCCTGTAAAGGGGCTCGCCCGACTTAAGCTGGTCCAGCATTGACGATTGACAAGCTGTCGGATCAAAGGACTGCCTGAAGGCACATGGGACTAGAAGCATCGCGCGCGCTTCGCGCGCGCGGTCGAGGCCTGGTGGATCACCCGCATTCCGGGGCATTCGATCGCGCTGCGCGCTGTGTTGGGACAGTGGACGCGCGTCGTTGAATTTATTATCTGGTCCTTCCCCTATGTGTATAGGGATGCGACCAAGGAGTCGATCCTATACGAAGGTCAGTAGGTAAAGGCATGTGGAAAGGAGTTTACGACTCCTTTTCCAAGGCGCTTTCCTGAGAACTCCGATGGAGTTCCTGAAGAATCCCATGGATGTTCTAAGGCATCCTACGAATTGGTGTTTGGAATCCGAAGGATGTCCTAAGGAGGATTCTTAAACATGTCCTAAGGGCTCCCATGGATGCCTTGAGAAATCCCACAATTCCTACGGAAAAATACGGATTCCCTCACGAATCCGATGGACATCATAAGGATTCCGCTAGATGTCCTACGGGATCTTATGGATTTCTTCCAGGATCCTATGGATTCCCTGAAGACTCCCATGAATTACCTCCGGACTCCGAATGATTTCCCAAGGAATCCAATGGATGTCCCATGGAATCCTACGGATTCCATCGGATTTCTAATGCTGTCCCAAGCTGTCCCATGGATTCCTTACGACGTCTACAAGGAATTCTTCAAATCCGCCGACCCTGTCGGCGTGTGGAAGAGGCTTCTCCGTTTGTTCCCTCTTCGTCGTCGTCGTCGTTCCTTGCCCTTTCCCCACAGCGTCGTTGCTTCTACCCATCTCCCAGAGCCTCCTCCTGAAGAGTGCCAGTCCAAAGCGAAATTGAGCAACGTCGTAATTGAGTCGAAGGGAAGCCCCTTCCATTTGATCCCTTCCCCGCCCGGGGGTGGGGGGGGTCCCGGGGGGGGTCCCAGGTTTTTACGCCGCCCACCCGGGGAATCCCGGAGCCCAAAAAAGCCCCAAGACGGGCCAACAGTGCCCCAAGAGGCCCCCCAAGACGGTCCAAGAGGGCCCCGAATCGCCGAATGATCTGTCCAAGACGCCTTGACGGCCTCCAGACGGCCCAAGAGGCCTGCGAGACGCCCCAAGAGGCCTCCAGGACCGTTCCCACGAGAGCCCCAAGAGGCAAAAATCATGGATTTCCCATACGTTTTTCAATAATTTTGGCGTTCTCGCCTCTACCGCTTCCCCACGCGCCAAGACGGCCCAAGAGGCCCCCAAGGTCGCCCCGAGACGGCCCAAGAGGCCTCCAAGAGTCCCCAAACGGCCCAAGAGTGCCCCAGGACGGCCCAAGACGCCTCCAAGACGGCACAAGAGGCCCCCAAGACGGTTCCAAGAGAGTGCCCAGACGGGGGACCCGAACGGACATTTCGAGCCCTCAGCCCCGAGAAGCCCCCAAGAGGCCCCCAGGAAGCCCAAAGAGGCCCCAAGAGGCTCCCAAGAGGCCCCCAAACATCCCCCCAGAGGCCCCCGAGAGCGCTTGGAAGAAACCCCAAGAAGCACGTTTGAGGACACAACCCACGTCAGCATCGTCGTCGTCGCTACCGCCGGCGCCGCCGTCGTCGTTCCCCTTCAGGGTCGGCGGCACAGGCCGTAAGGCCTTCGCAATATCGATGGGATTCGTTTGAAAATCCGTAAGGTTATTTGGGAAATCCTACGGGTGTACTAAGACATCCTATAGATCTCCTGAAGACCCAACGGATATCCGAAGGAATCCGATAGGTTTCCTCAAGAATCTTGTGAATTGCATGAAGAATCTGATGGGTTTCCTACGGGATCCACTGGATGTCCTAAAAATGAGAGACCGCGTTTCACGGGCAGTTGCCTTGGGAACATTCGGCGGCGCGTTTCGAGCGGGGGGGGGGCCCCCCAACACTCGGCGCCGTCGATCAGAACCAGGGGGACTCCCCTCCCCCTAACCCCCCCCTCCCGAATGCCCCCCCCCCCTCGGCGCTGGCGCCGACGCCCGCGCTGGCGGCCGCCAGCAGCGCCGACGGCGGGGACGCAGCGACGATGACCAGAGAGGGCCCACGAGAGGGCACCAACACAATCCTCGTAGTCGCAGCAGCCCGCGTCGTCGACGCACTTCGAATACGCGCCGCAGTCGCCTGGTGAAGATACGCACCGCCACCCTGGTGAAGATGGGCGCGCGATGATCTTTAAACTGGCGATGGCATGCGCAATCACGTTAGCGCCGTCCCGCGAGCACTGCGCAAACCAAATTGGTGCGCCGAGCAGGGGAGAGCAGCAGCAATTGTGCTTGAGGAGTGCGGTTTCAGCAGCCCTGCAGGGAGCCGCTCAGGCCGAGAAGCACTGCGACCAAGGCTGCCTTGGCGAACTGCTGCATCGCTGGAATCGGCGGGTCGCTTGCACAGTATGGCTCGAGCCAAAAATAGCTACGGGGGCCCGACGCCCTTCTTGGAGGAGCAAGCAGCTGCATGAACACAACACGTTCGGAGGTACGCCCGGATGTCCTGGATCTGCGCTGGGCTGGACCTCCCTCCCTGGCGCGCGGAGTGCGCCGGGGGCGGCGCCGGAGGCGCTGCGAGGGGGACCCTGCGCCGATCCGAGAAAACCGGTCGGATCTGCGAACATCCACGCCTAGCCCCTTGCATATTGTTATTACCATAACCAGTAAACGTAGCGTTACCATGGATAATACTGTTATGTGTCATATGATTACTAGTAATGCTACAGCCTGAGTACTAACAGCCTGAGTACTACTGGTACTATGTTTGGCAGTGTTATTGCTACTGTGTTTAATATTACTGATATGACCACTCATAAATAGTATTCGTGATACAAATAAAACTGAAATGCGACGGCCATTCGTATCACTAGTATGTGTGTTATTCTTGTTAGTCATAACTACGTTACCTTAGTATTACTCGTCTATTATTAACCCTCTTATAGTTCGTAGCATTGTTATTACTACTGCGATTACTTTTACTGTTGGGAACAATGGTATTCACATGATTAGTACTGATATTCTGATTAGTACTAGTATTATTGTTCATATGATTAGTATTACTCAACGCCTCGCGCCACCGTGAACAGAACAACCCGTCCTCGATGTGTCTCGGGCGCTCGCCTTGGGAACATTCGGCGGCGCGTTTCGAGCAGGGGGGGGACCCCCAAAAAAAAACTCGGCGCCGTCGATCAGAACCAGGGGGGACTCCCCTCCCCCTAACCCCCCCCCTTCCGAAATCCACCCCCCCCTCGGCGCCGGCGCCGGCGCCCGCGCTGGCGGCCGCCAGCAGCGCCGACGGCGGGGACGCAGCCACGATGACCAGACAAGGCCCAGGAGGAGGGGGGGGGGAACCCAAACCCCCCCCTCCCGCGCCTGCGCCGGCGCTGACAGCGGTCAGCAGCGCCGACGGCGGGGACGCAGCGACGATTACCAGGGAGGGCCCAGGAGAGGGCACCACCACAAGCCACCCCACCATTACCACCACCATGACCACCACCGCCACAACCACAACCATCACTACAACTTACCTCCACCAACACAAACCACCACACCACCACTACCACAATCACCACCGCCACCACCACCCACCACCCACCACCACCACCAGCGCCGCTACCACCACGACCCCCCGCCACCACCCACCACAGCCCACCACCACCACCACCACCACCATCACAAACCACCACGCCACTACCACCACCACCGCCACCACCACTACCACCACCACCACCACCAACCCACCACCACCACCAACAACCCACCACACAACCACCACCACCACCACCACAGCCACCACCACCACTACCACCACAAC